AGACTGGAGCAAATTTAATGAAATATAATTGTAAAGAATTATTTTTACGGTATTAATGGTAATTTATTTAACACAGAAAAATCAACAGTTACAATTATGATAATGACTGATATAAGCAGAGGTTCAGAGCTGCATTTCGCTAGCATGTAGGTACTTTTGCGATTTTTTTATTTTTGCAATATATGTTATTTTGCGGACGTATTTCTGATTTTTGCGGACAATTAGTTTTTTAGCAAATCCGAAAAAACGGCTGACATGCTGGTGAAATGTTGCAAAAATTTAAAAATCACTTACTTCACTTTTTAGTATTCCATCATTTTGCAGATAATATACGTTATTTCGTGACGTATTTCCGGTTTTTGTGTGCGAATAGATTTTTTGCAATTCAAAATAAAATAAATTACAAAGTACTCGACTTGATATGGTTTTTAAAAACTTTGACGTTTTAAAACAAGAACCATCGGGAGAAACAAATTTTGATGCAGATAGTTTAATAAAATCACGTAAACATTTTTATTTCATTTGAATACTTACTGTTTGGGAAAAATTCTCAATTCAATCGAGAGGATCAATATAATTTTACAAAAATCAAAACTAACAATTTGATGTAGCTGTCAAAAAATCTGCGAAGTCTCCTTAATATTTTACAAGACTTTCGAGAGCAATGTATATATGAGACTATCAGATTCAAAGAATAAAGCTGAAATATTAGGCATTTAGACAAAATTTTCAAAAGTCAGGTTACGAAAATAGAAACAGTTATACGGAGAAATTGAAGAAGATGAGTATTGTAATGTAAGTGAAGAAAATACATTTTTAATAACGATGAAAAATATTATTGATAATAATTTTATAGGACAAAGTCAAAAATTTAAATTAATGGAAAATATCGCTCAAGGTTTTTCATTTTTAGATCCAACAATAATTTATTCATGATCTATGGAAGATTTGATAATTTATTATTTACTAAACTATGTGTAATCTGTAAACAATAATTAATATGAAAAATGTAATATAAAAAGAAAAAAATTAGAATTTTTCATAATTTCATAAAAATATTTCAAATTTAAAACCCTAATTATTATGTTACAAGAAAAAAGTTTTAAAATAATGACAAAATGTTTTTTTTTTTTAAATTAAGAAATAAATAAATAACAATTTTTTAGTAACTTAAAGCTCTAAAAAAGCCAGTAACATAATAGTGGTAGAAGTTCGTCCTTTGTCGCTTCGTTTCTCGGACAATATAATGGTGATGAGTGAATAGCATTTTCTATTATGTGGTCATCCGACTTATGATAGTTTAGTTGTATGGTACTTTGCATTTGATAAATCATTGCATTCAGAAAAACGGTTCTGAGTAAAACTTAGTGGATATCATATTTATTATTATACCTAGTTTAGATTTTTAGAATAATCGAAATCTTTCGAAAAAATTATTAGAGACCTAGTTTTAAACGTATTGTATAATTTACAAATAATACTAGTAAAAATCCTTTTAAAATTTTGAATTATTAAATCGTAAAGAATTATATCCACCAAAACAATCACAATGTATATCTCTAACTATATTTTTAGTTTCATATAGATCGGCTGGACCAATTATTTTGTACATGCATTTAAGTGTGTAATTTGGTGTAAAACAAATAAATGCCATCAATATGCCATCTTTAAAAGCTTGGAAAAATAAACTGTGACTAACTATTTTCGATATTTTTTCATTACCGTTAGTAATACATATAAATATGATTATATTACATTTTCAGCTCTTAATAACCAAAGATTATAATTGTATGAAGGAAAAACTTACAAAAAACGAAAAATTTCCAATATTTTAAAAGTTCTATATATAATATTATGTATATATACTATAGTTATATTTAGCTCAAAATTGATTAAATGTTTTTGAAATTATTTAGTATGCGTGTGATGATTTTTAGTAGTAGATAAAAATTTCAAGTTTCTAGCACTATTATTTATGGAGTTATGGCCAAAAAACTAAAATAGATTTCACGAAAATCCAGAATACGGAATTTTCCCCGTTTTTTGTCAGTTTTTCGGTAGTTTCTCTCACGCTTGGAAAAACTATTGAGAAATTCGAAAAATGACCTCTCTAAAGTACCATTTTGGGATATTTTTCTATCTAAAGAGTTCTGGATGAAATTTTTGGTTTAGTATATCTACCCGAAAAAGTGTTACATAAAGAACTACATAAATAACTAAAAAAAAAAAATACAAATTTATAAAAACCAATATATTTTTCGTTTCACTCAGAATCTAAAATAATTTAGATTTATAATATTATTTTATACCTAACCTATTAAGAACTTTATACATTCACAATATTTATTAATTTCAGAATCATACAGTTAAAGATTTTGAAGATAATTTTTTACTCACCGGTAATGAAACGTTAAATAATATGACATTCAGAAAATGGGCACAATCAATATTATTAAAATGCGAAGAATTGATTGAAGATGGTGATCATGAAAATGCACAGTACATACTAGCCGTGATCCCTTTTATTCTGAAATCATTAGATTTATCATCCTTGTGATCAAACGTTATGTGTGAATCATTCAACTTTCTATACTAAAAAAATAAAGTAAGTGGTTTTTTAATTTTTTATAACATTTCACCAACATATCAACTGTTTTTTGGATTTGCTAAAAAACGAGTTGTCTGCAAAAATCAGAAATACGTCCGCAAAATTACGCAAATTATCTGCAAAATAACATATATTGCAAAAATAAAAAAATAGCAAAAGTACATGCTAGAGAAATGGAGCTGAGATTTTGCACTGGATACGTCTGAATTTGGTGCCGAATCGGAGCCCTTTTATATGTTAATAGGCATTTTTAATTGATTCAATTGCTTACAGTTATTATTTGATACATTTGATATTAATTATATTTTACAAAAACCGCGCCTATTTTTAATTTTTTCGGAATTGTCCTAAATTGCAAGTATACACTTTTTTTATTAGATTACGCTCGCGCGTGTACAATATGTGTTTTTGATAATTAATTTAATTAATAAAAATAAAACAAAATACAAGGTTGTTATTTTAATATGAAAATATGGTAATAAAATAATAGAAATAAAAATATGGCATTGTAAATTCTTATTATAACAATCCGCCGTTTTTTTTATAAGATTAGGTGTAGAGTCTACATTAGATATGGTTTTCTCAGTAATTTAAATATAGAAAAAAAGAGTTACAAGGTTGTTTTTATGTTATATAATAAATTCTAAGTTTAGTTAGTTTGTAATATATGATATATTACAGTGCTATAAAATCCATATTTGTTTAAATTTGAAATGTATTTCAATAAATAATAAATAAAAACCAAGTCCTTATTATTACAATTTAATTTATTTGTTTTTAAGTTTTAGGACTTGTATCTGCAATGCCATATAATACGTGTGTATGTATATGTTATGAAAATAATACCATGCAGAGACCGATAACTATTTCACTATACTCGCGGCGGTTGTCTTGATTTAGAAACGTGCCGGATGTTTTAAGTACACACACTCGTAAACTCTCTCTCTCTCTCTCTCTCTTACACACACACACACACACACACGCACGCACACACACACACACACACACACACATACAAACACAAACAAATACATTCACTTACACACTCGCGCTCCCGAAACTTAAATATTCACTTGACGTAATTTATCTAGAGGCGGACGATTTATGTCGACAACCAGCTCATTAACGGCTCGGCACGACCCATAAAGCTATCTGCACCATTCACGGGTTTAAATACGACGTGTTAAAACGTTTACGGTTTCCATGAATATATCGCGCACCACGTCTGGCCGTTCGGCTTCCTTCTCGTCCACGACGTAATGGTTAACACTGCCATTATGAATATTGTACCTACGCTTTTCGGCGGGCCAAGACGACTGGTGGAAGAGGAACAAGAAAAACAAGTCGTATTTTTCCCTCGTTTCTCCGTCTCGATAAATCACGTCTTGTTTTCGGGGTGTCATCAAGTGATATTTACGCGGCTGCAGCGACGACATTTTTATGATAATATATTATACGTTATAATTATTATTATTTCTCGCGATTCGGTGATAAGCGGTTATTGCTGTATTTATAGACAACGCAATCCCGTTTTTGCGGAGGCGACGAGGCACTCGGTTAGATCTCGACATTTCTATGCGCATTCCATTTGAATCGTTGTTTTATTATATTATTATTATTATTATTACGTATTTTTATTTTTACATCTGACCAAGTCGTTGAACGTTTTGGTACAGGTCAACATCATTACAAGTAATTCCTTAAGGTCGCATATTGTTTATTAATAATTATTATTCGTAAATAACACCATGTAAAAATTTGACAACTGTTGTAAATATTAATTAAAAATTAGTTTTATTATTAAATTTATTTTTTATTTTTATATTTCGACGAAAGGTAATTTTTAGTGTTTCAAGTTCAACGTGTATCAAACAGTTTTCGTGTAATCGAGTGGTGTTCGTAAAATGTAGAGGTGCTTATTTAACACGTGTTTAACAAAAACTGATAGACGGGTTTTTATTGAAACTGTTTGGTATATTAAAATTTAAATCCGTGTACCAATGTATGTGCGCACGCAAGTCCGTTCAATAAATGAAATGCAATTTCCAAGATCTACCCAGTGACCGTCACAAATTATTTAAAAAATACCATGGTCTCGACTTTCGATTAAACAAGTAAAAAAAAATAACGAAGATTGTAAATATTGTGTCTATCCAGAGTTGTTTATTAATGTTTTGGTTACTATGAATTAGCCAGAATATTTATTATTATAAATTTGAAAAAGTTTAGATTAAACTGCAATCCCTGAACAATAGTATATTATAATATATTCTGGCTAATATTATTGGTAAGAATATGCAAATTATATTTTATAGTAAGAATATACAATTTCGAACCTTTTAATAAAATATAAAAATACAAAAGTACTACGATGTCTACTAATTAACTACCTATATACAATATAACGTTTCTACACCACCTTAGGTTCCGTAGGCGCAACTAGGGGGGCGCAATAGGGGTTTTAGGACCCCCGAGTTCAAATGTAGCACTCCTGTTTTTTTTTCTTCAGATCTATATAATCTATAGTAATACCAGTTGAATACCATTAAATTTTACTTTCGACAATTTCAGCACTCTCAATATTTGAGCTCTAGTTGCGCCCATATTTGGTTCATAAAACAGATGAATTCCTATCGATAAGTAAAGAAGCATGAGCTAAAACACAAGATGTGGTTTTTTATTATGGTATCTTCAATCTAATCCACAATTAGGGGTCAACTGTTACAAAAAAAAAAAAAAACCCTTAGGTACAGTGGAAATAGTTGTATAAAAAACCAATAAGTAAATTTAAGTGGTCGCTAATTACTTCAAATTCACGTTTTCGTTCATCACACGTTCAACCCTGCTTTGACGAAGCAAATTTTTATTTTCAACTACCATAATGTAAAAGGTTTCCTTGATGTTCAGCTTCCTCATCCGCCTGTAAAAGCGCATATTTTTTATTTTGATATTGTGATCATAGAAAATACAGAAAACTGTCCTTACTTACTTTGGCCTTGTATCCGCAAGAAAGCAATGAACTTGACAAATATTATCGGTTGTTTTAATTCATGAATGGTATTTCGGTTCTTCCTTCCGTCGAACCACACACAACTGTTGAAGCGCTAAAACCGCAATCGTGTTCCCCTTCACCACACTTCTCACAACACATCTACTTGGACATAACTATTCGGGAGAAAAAATCGATGACACATACACATATTGTTGTAAAACGGTTGTTTTTATAATATTATTATTATGTGTGTACCGTGTCCGTTGTTTATGGGCCATACTAATTTTTCAAACCAGTTCTGTCCACGAACTATTCACACTATCAACTTATGTTAGTGTCGCCAATTCCTGATGCGCTGGGGGAAAAGGACGATTAACCTATCAATGTTCCCAATTGATGCGATCGACGGTCCTACTGTTGATTGTTTCGCATATAGAGATATCTACGTATAGCACACCACTAACCGTCGGTGAACGATATGCGGTCATTTCCAATGCGGATCACGTCTGACTGAGCCACATACTGGTCCTACGCGTCTGTCCGTATCGAATCTTCTATCCTTCTTATGGTAAATTGAAGTCACTCGAAGTATCCTTCGCAGAGACGTATTTTTAGGTGGACAAGGGGGTACCATCGCTTCGGGTGGCAAATTTTTTTTGAAATTCAGAGGCGGCAGCATTTATCTGTAACCATAAACCATCATCCATTTTTATTCGTTGATCAAAACATTATAATATTTTAATATTTTGCACAGTGACCACATGGCAATTTTTATTTTCATGATAATATTATAAAAAGTTTACCGCGTTAGTCCATAGGTAATACATAATATTATTATCTTTCTCGAAAACTCCTATGAAACGTGCGCAGTGGCGGCAATAAAACTTTACCTGGGACGGCAAAAACTCTAAGTATGTCTCTGCTCTTTCTTGCAGACTTCAACTCCGTTAGCGATAGTACCTAATTAACAATCGTTATCTTGAAGTCTTGAGCACACAAAACTGATGGAATTTCCAGCAACGTTGGTGTGTGAACACCTAACGTTCAGTAATTCTGTAACGTCACGAGATAACAACGAACGCCAATGATTTCTTGTGATGAATATTATCTTAAAACGTAATACTATTATTATTAAAGTGTATGATGGTATTCAGGGGCGCAATTTCAATGAAAAAAATGAGGGTTGCTGAAGCTCTTCTATCTTTTTCATGTTCCTTAATGGTTGTATACACCCGCAACCCGTACAGTTCGAAAGTTACTAAAATATTTGGTAAATATTTGATTGGGTAAAACATGATTGCGTACGTCCGTTATCGGCGATACATTTTTTAAGCTACACGATTCCGTACGATTTTACCTGATTTTTAACTACACAATGGTGTATGAAGTTTAAAGAGTTGATGCCAATTATTATACCAGTATTGGTGTCTACCCCTATACGAGTGAACTTGAAAAAGTATTATATATTATATATATATTTATACTATATTTTGTGTTTAACGTTTATATTAACTATGTTTATTGTTAATGATATCAAATATATCAGATGTTAATATCAAAACTTAAAAGAATTCAAAATAGTAGATATATTATTTTATTATTTTCTATTTTTTAGAACCTAAAATAATTCGTGTAATGCTTAGAGAAAATCAAATTAAAATTAACAATTATATTCTTACGTTTTACTGCATATAACGTTATTCGATATACACTTCTTCCAATCGGTTAGTATTTTATTCAGATTGATAGTGAAAACCTATACTTAAAACAGTTGGTATTTTTATTTTTATTTGTTTTTTTCGTTTTTATATTTTTTAATACAACTATTATTTAATTTTTTTAATTTCGCGCGCAAACCTCCTCGACGATCTAGCAACAGTAACTTACGACTTCCGGTGATGTAACTTCATCTAACGTTCTATCAAATACGTTTTTTACACGTTCCGCGTTTATGGATATATTTTCACACACGGACACCACTACCGCCGTCCCCAATACTGTAGTTGCTGCGTTTGTAAATAAAACACAATGTAACGTAACACTTACAGATACCGATACAATGTCAGGACTATTTGCAAACACTTATGGCTGAGGTCATTTCAAACACTTATTGTTTTACACGCGTGATTTCGCCATCATTATTAGCTTTATAATTTGTATGATTTACTCATTTTTCTATACCTAAATTTGACTAAAAATAAAGTTCAATGACAATTTACAATCTTGAATCAGTAACTGAGTTTAGCTAATGATTATAATTAATATCAGTGTCTCCCGAGGAGCTTTAAATGTAAAAATTCTAAACACCATAATTTTTCTATTGCATACAATAATTCCTCTCAAGTCGATGCAGCCATCATCGCAGCCGTTAGTCGCTAGTCGTATTTATCGTATTCCTTCGAGCTATCTGATGTGTCATGGGTGGACCCGGATCACTTCAGGAAGCTCAAGTGGCTGTGGGCCGTGTTCGTGCGCTGCCGGAAAGACGAGTTTCACCCGGACGTTTCGCCGCCGCCATTTATTGCGGAGCCTTCAAAGGAGTAAAATTCGAAAATAATATCAAGAAAAATATGAAGTTCCATTGCCAGACGAAGTGAGTTACTGTTGCCAGATAAAATTCTGACTTACCAATTTGTTTGCTTTTCAGGTAAAACCCTTTGAACATTTAAAATCTACGTCCACGGAATAAAAGCGTTGTAGTAAGCCCGCCGACACCTATGTCGTCTTGTTAACACCGTCCCCGCACACCGCATCCGGCGCACCCATTGAGGTACGTGTGCGATTTGAACTTGGAATTATTTCTGAAACCTATGAACAATAATTTTTTTACAAATCATTATTTGAACTTGGAATTATTTTAAAAAACAATAATTTGAACTTAGTTTAAGTTAAAACTGTTATTTTAATATTATTTTTACCTCGGTTATTTATTAAATAATTTCTATAAAATGATTTTGTTATTTGCAGTCAAAAGTTATCGAGATTAGCGATGGTGAAGAAATTTAATGTGGTCTCGACCAGCCTGGGCCGTTTGCTAATACATTTAAGTGTATATTTAGTTATACATTTATACATATTTTCCTTTATTGAAAAACCTTGAAAATGAAAATGAAGCAATGTCTAACCTACACATAAATCAATTAGATACGATTGACGGCAAATGGAAGGCAATAAAGGAAACCTTAAAAGAGGTTACAGATACGACCATAGGGAAACAAAATAAAAAAGTAAAGAAACCTTGGTTCAACACTTCTTGTGAAGAGGCACTTAACAGAAGGAAAGAAGCTAGACTACTATGGATCAATGACCCCACCAATAGAGAAAAAGAATCTACGTATAAAGAACGCCAAAAAGAGGCGAGTAATATTTTTAGATTCGAAAAACGTAAATACACGAAAGAGATACTGTGGGAAGCCGAGACCAACCATAGAGTTAACAAAACTCGTGAGCTGTATCAGAAGATTAATGCAATAGGGGTGAGTACAAAAAACATGAAAGATTCTTAAAAAATGAGGATGGCTCCATAATTACGGAACAAGACAAGATTATAGAAAAATGGAGAGAGTATTTTGACCAACTGCTTAACTGTGAGGACTCTCCTGAAACTTTCACATGGATATCATCTGACCCTAACGACAGTGAATGCCCTCCTCCTAGTAGGATAGAGGTAGTAAATCAATTAAATAGATTAAAAAACAATAAAACACCGGGAGAAGATGGAATTCAGGGAGAAATTCTAAAAAATTTGGATGAGGTAGCAATAAATAAAATACATGATATCATCGAAAATTTATGGTCTGAGGAGCAACTACCCAAAGACTGGGGTACAGCGTTGATCTGCCCGATTTTTAAAAAAGGAGACCCACAAAAATGCAGTAACTACAGAGGTATTGCTTTATTAGATACGGGATATAACGTCTTATCATATTGTCTACTTGATAGAGTAGTACCCAAGGCCGAAAATATAATAGGTGATTACCAGGGTGGGTTTAGGACCAATAGATCCACAACTGACCAAATGTTCATTCTAAGACAAATCATCCAAAAACATTTGGAATTTGACAAGGAGGTACACGTGTTATTTGTGGATTTCAGAAAAGCTTATGATTCTATACATAGAGAAAGCCTTTTAAACATTCTCAAAGATTTCAAATTCCCCAGGAAAATTATTAATCTCATTGGAGCCAGTTTCAAACATACAGATATACAGGTCAAGATAGGTAACGTAACATCGCAGCCAACTAGAGTAACGACAGGACTTCGGCAAGGGGATGCTTTGTCTCCAGTGCTGTTTTATTTAGTACTGGAGAGGGTAATACGTGAGATGAACATTTCGGAAGGAGTTATATTAGGACAGACCAGAATTGGAATACTAGCATATGCGGATGATATCGCTCTCCTTGGTGAAGATTTAGATATGATAAAAAAATTGGGAAGTAATCTAATAAATACGGCAAAAAAAGTGGGCCTAACCGTTAATGAGGAAAAAACAGAGTACCTTGTGGCTAGCCGAGGAAATAGAAATGGCGGTCTGGAACAATATATCAAAATTGAAGAACTCAAGTTCAAAAGAGTGTCTCAATTTAAGTATCTAGGGTCGATGATAACGGAGGATAACGACATCAAGACAGAGGTGTCAACAAGGATACAACTAGCGAATAGAGGATTTTATGGACTTGAAAAAGTCTTGAAATCGAAGGCCTTATCTAAAGCCCTAAAAATCAAAATGTACATGACTCTACTAAGACCAATTGTTCTTTACGGCTCAGAAACCTGGGCGCTGAGAAAAACAGAAGAATCAAGATTAATGATATTCGAGAGAAAAGTTCTACGGAAAATTTTTGGCCCCATATAAGATAGACAAACGAGGCAATGGAGAAAATTTCATAACGTGGAACTCCAAGGACTTTTCCAGAGGCCGAATATAGTTAGAGAGATCACCAAGCGGAAACTAAGTTGGGCAGGACATGCTTGGCGCAAATAGGGTACTTTAGTAAAATGGGTGATCGAAGAAGAGCCTAATGGAAAGAGACCAATAGGTAGACCTAAGTTAAGATGGGAAGATGGTGTGAAGAAAGAAGTGGAAAAGATAGAGCCTGGTGTCAAGTGGAGAGAAGTAGCGGAGGACAGGGATAGGTGGCAAAATTTAGTGTTTTCAGGATGGTCTTAAGGGCCGTAACTAAAAAGAAGAAGAAGATTGAAAAACCTTCAGATTTCATAAATTATAATTTTAATTTTAATTTTACTTATATTTGAAAAAATTACAACGCATAATATTGTAAATATGCCATTCTAAAGACGACGCTTCTCTAATAGAACTTTTATTATGGATTATCATAGGATTAGAGCGGTTCAAGAAAGAATTTTTGTTGAAGTTTGAAGTTTAGGATTTGTACCTGACGTAAAACATCAGTCAATTTACCTTAGGCTTAGCCGATTGTAGTTTGAATGTCAATTTTAAGTGTCAGAATACAATTTTCGTTGCCACAGTAATGGAAAGGTCAATCTTTTTTTCATTTAAACATATACAATTTTACCCATTCTACCTCTTCGAACTTTAATTTTGGCTCTTGAACTTACGGAGAAAATTGATTGTTTTGAAATGGGCGTTTTGTTGTTTGTTGAATCATTGCGTGATGCATATTTGAGTAACAAGTGCACAATATGTCTCGTTTAACTGTCACTTACTGGAAAATAAATAGTTTATATTAAAAAATAAAACGTTGTTATTTATCACAAA